TAGTTGTAGCATTCATCTTTAGCTTTACACCTGATTTCTAGTTATTATTATATGGCCATGTGTAGCAACTTTTCTAACTACCCTGCACTTTTAAGGAGTGACTGAATTGATTGTGTCTCCTATGTTCTTGTATTGAAGGTTCTTGAATGAATATAAAGGGTCACATGAAAAAATGGATTCAGAAAAAGTCCGTCTTCGTATTTTATGTACAGGAATACTTACATGATTTGATTATTGATTCATTCATTCCTAGGCAATCTACTGCAATTCTTTTGTTTCCTGTAAACAAAAGATATTTGTTGTGACAGTTGTCTAATGAGGACAATGTCAAGTGTATCAACATTGATTTTATTTATATTAAATAGGTATTCCGGATGGCTTGTCTCCAGGGAAGTAAATATCATTGTTTTACTTGGACACCTGGACAAGTAATCAGGCTTCTGATGTGCATGTCTCTGTTTCAGGAAATTCTGATGCAATCAGCCAGTTACATAGTGGGTTTAATATTGCTTCAGCTCATCCTATAGCTGAGAAAATGCGCGTTATGGTTTTAATTTCCCAACATTTTCTAAAATGAAAATGTTTATAGTGAACTCAACAAAGCCTCTTCCTAAATTGAAAAAGCACCCATTTATGCCTTTCTTGTCTACCAATATATTAGTTAGAGGGCATTAAATGTTAACCTAGTCTTTGATAGTCGAATGGATGAATTTGACTGTTTTGTGAACAATTGTGTAATATTCTCATAGACAAAAAAGTTTAAAATATTTAAACTTGTTTTTGGAGATTGGACTTAAAATAGATTTGTCATTTCTTGATTCAGACGCCATGTGGCCACAACTTTTGTTTGAAGTGCTTCCAGAAATGGGTAGGTCAGGGGAAGCGCACTTGTGCGATTTGTCGTGAGGTTATTCCATCCAAGATGGCAAGGGAGCCCCGCATCAACTCTGCTATTGTTATTGCCATTCGAAATGCCAAAATGTCACAGTCTAATGTTTCAGGAGGTGTCCCAAGGGTCAACCATTTTGTACACAACAAAGATCGGCCCGACAAAGCATACACCACTGAGCGAGCGAAAAGATCTGGAAAGGCTAATGCCTGCAGTGGGAAGATCTTTGTTACAGTTCCTCTTGATCATTTTGGTCCAATTACAGCAGAGCATGATCCAGAAAGAAACGTGGGCGTGTTGGTTGGGGAGACCTGGGAAGATAGGATGGAATGCAGGCAGTGGGGGGCTCACTTTACCCACGTTGCTGGGATTGCTGGGCAGTCAGAGTATGGAGCACAGTCTGTTGCACTGTCAGGGGGTTATGAAGATGATGAAGACCATGGTGAATGGTTTCTTTATACTGGAAGGTATACTCAAATGTGGTCGCTTTGTGCTATGCTTTGTTTGTTTTGAGTAATCTACTGTCCAAATATTTTCGGTGCTTCACCTTGTTTTATTTGTCTTACCAACATGGCTGAACCATGTGACCTTTTTGTGTCTATTGTTTCATCTTTCTGTTTTTACTTTGGGATCCATGAATGTTCTTAGATTTCATACAATTCATGTATCTAACTGTATATGTGTCCTTATGTTCTGGATACTTTCTATTTAGGCGACCGATGATTTTGGCTGATTAGAATGCTTAAAGGTTCTATTTGTGTCCATTTTTACAACTTTGAGATTAGATTTTGAACCGTGAAATATACATGATAGAGTTAACGAATCTTGAGCTTGCGAGTTCTTTGAAGCATTGCGAGTGAGTTGCAAAAATGGTTATCCTGTCCGAGTTGTAAGGTATTCTGATATTTCTATTTAAGAAACAGTTAAGAATTTAAGCAAATGCCATGTATTGTCACGCTATGTTTTCGATCAATGAAAACTACACTTTTGACAGTTTGCTAGAATGTGTGGGTTTACCCCTCTGTATAGATTTTGCTACATGATATCTTAATTGCGGGAGCAAACAAATGTTGTTGATATGACATTGACTAGGTTCCATCTCATGGCCACTGTCCATTCAAGTAAGAGTCTGTAGCTGTGTAGCTTTGCCATAAATGATGCTTATTTTCTCAGGATTGCATTTATTGGCTTGGAAAATGCTAGATATATAAAAGGGAAAGAGAATGTCTGACTATTCTTCAATTTATTTTCCAATGCAGCTTTTAATATTCACATGGATCTGATAATTGAAAATGAAACTAATATTTCCTCTTCTGGAATTAGGCCAACATTATTTTGTTTGGTTGGGAATCACACCCCTTTTGGTGATCTAAGGTTTTCGTTAAAACTTTTAAATTCTCCCAGTTATTTGCAGTCAACCAAGACTATATATCCTACAGTGAAATACTCAATTAGTGCTGCCATTACTAGGTTAACAATCATCCAAGTTTTTATGTTTAGCAATCTATTGCAACAATGATATCAGTTAGTGGTTAGAAAGATAAAATATTAGTCTTTGCCTTTTCCGTTCCCTAATGCACTTCCTTATTTTTGTACTGACTTTTTCTTTTGTCGGGCAGGTCTCACAAGGAGAAACGTTCTTCTTATGCGCCACAGGAAGGTGTACGTTATGATGGGATTTATAGGATTGAAAAATGTTGGCGCAAGGCTGGAATTCAAGTAGGGATTTGCTTCCATAAGAATTTAAGTCACCTTTGTGCTCAATACGTTCTCTTACCGCTTTCCTTCACTTGATATAGGGATTTAAGGTGTGCCGTTATTTGTTCGTTCGTTGTGATAATGATCCTGCGCCATGGACAAGGTTTATTGTTTCTTTCATTATGCCATCATCTGTCCCTATATGCACTTATGTTTGCATGCTTAGTTCTTAATTGTCATCATTTTCTACAGTGAAAATAACGGTGATCGCTCAAGAGAGTTGCCCACTGTAGAGGAATTAAAGCATGCTACTGACATAACCGAAAGAAAAAAGAGTCCTGCTTGGGATTTCGATGTCAGAAGCTATATACTGAACTTATGGTTTTTCTTCACCAATTTCATTTATATATCTGCATGAAACTTTAACACTAGCCGTTCAGCTTCCTTTAATTCCTGTTTTTATATTAATATTGTTCTTCATAAGATATTAAGTTTTCTAGTGACCTCAGCCGTTTAATTTTGCAATGCACAGGAGGGACAATGTCGTTGGATTTGGAAAAAGCCTCCACCCGAAAGTCGAAAAGCTCCTGATGCTTATGATGAGGAAGGTAAGATCACTAAGAGAGCAAGACGCCAAAAACGAAATGAGTCAGTGAAAGAAAGGCTTTTAAAAGGTATTATTCTTGTTACATGTGCATTTCTTTGGACTTACAGAAGCTGTTCCATGGAGAGGTTTCTGAATAGTACAATGTGTGATTATGGGTGCATAATCTTTATGTATACGTACGAGCCACATGTTTCTCAAGTCTGCAACTCATGATACAGATTTTAGCTGCCTCATCTGCTGGAAAGTAATGGTGCTTCCTCTTACAACTCCCTGTGCTCATAACTTCTGCAAGGCATGCTTAGAAAATTCCTTTGCTGGCCAGTCTTTCATAAAGCAGAGGACATGTGGAGGTACAAGGACACTTCGAGCACAAAAAAATGTCATGAAATGCCCTTCGTGCTCAAATGATGTGTCTGACTTCCTTCAGAATCCCCAGGTACAAAGAGCAGAATTTTTTTCTCATTTAAATTTTGAAGTTACTAGCACAATTACAGTGACTGACCATAGAATTGGGGGTCATATATGCATTTTGTGCTGTGCAAGGAAGATTTATTTCAAGATGTATGAATCAGAAGTGTGCGCTCATCCAAAATATGATTCTGCAACAGGTTAACAGGGAGTTGATGAATTTGATTGAATCACTACAGAGCCAGATGAAGGAGGAAAACATGGAATCTGAAGAACTTGATGGTGCAAATGACGAAGATGCTGAGTTATGTGATGAAACAGATGATGCATGTATAGAAGTGGACATGGGGGAAGAAATTGATGGCACTAATGGAAAATCCAACATTGGTGCTGAAAATGAGAACTGTGATGCTAGTGCTGAAATTCTGAAGGAAGAGAAGGATGAGAAAGAAGGCAGTAAACCTTTGTCCAACACCAACCCCCAGCCACCTATTGAAAAGAAAGCCCTAGGCAGGTGTGATGCTGTGAGTGATGACAAGGAAGCTGGCGTTGCCAGAGGTGAAATGCCCAAAAGAAGAAACAAGCGACGCGGTGCTGGTGAAGAGGCTTGCTCATTGGCTCCCAACGGGGGCAAGAAAAGAAGAGGCAACAAGACTTAACATAAGTTGCTCACTTGTTCTGCTATCTCATTCTCTCCTGTCTTTTTCTTTATTACAACCTCTCGCATTTTTTTGATGACTTGTTGGCCTGGAGCCAAGTTCCATTGGGCGTGGGAGGAGGATTTTGGGTATACACATTCTTTTTGGCAGGAGTAAGGTTTAATCTGACTTTTTAGAACTATATAATTGTGTATCATTGGGATGTATTGCCCATTTTTCTTGCCTTTTGAATTATTATGTTTATAGGATTTTAAGGATGCAGTAAACAAAATTATCTGCTTTTGGATTGCCAGTTTATGTGCAAGTCTTGTTGTTTAGCAAATAGCACACAAGTAGGATGCTTGTTTTCTTAACTTCCCTCAGGCTGTTACGACAGCTCTTTGAAATCATTCTAGCACACCTGATACTTCTTACGAGACTGCTTGCCTTTTTGGTCCTGTTTTATTTACTTACAGATATACAACCTGTTACATGTTAGAGGATTATGCCACTTGTCAGAAGGATTTTGACAGATGCAGTGATGGAAGTGCAGGTGGCAGCAAATTATTGGATGGAACGTCAACTTATTTGGCACTTTAGCATGATTTTATGGGTTATGTGCCTCGTTTTTTGTATTGAGTTTAACATGGTGGGCACTACGGATTTGTGCATTTCTCCAAGATTTACCATGATTACTCCTGTGTTGTAGTTAAGCAATCTATGCGGTGTCAAGCTTTTTAACTATTGTAAACCATGAATCTCTAAGCAAAAGCAGCAATACTGTGTTTAATATTAAAGGAGTTCCATCTTTAGTTTACAGAAAATAGCTGCTGATAGCAAAAAAGATATGGCTTCTTTACATACCATTCTGTTCATCCACATGAATAACAAATTCAAAGCAACAAGGGACTCAGAATTTTTTACTCGAATGGTGCCCAAACGCGATGCAGTTCCTGCTTTCAAGCAGAAATTTGTATACAGCTCGTTTAGTTTTGGCGTTCAAGTTTCTCAGTAAGTGTCCTCTTCTCCTCTTCAGGCAAAGCGTTAAAAATGAAGACTGATTTGTCTCCTATGTCATCCTGTAGCACAACAAAAACATATCAAACTCGTGTTTTCTGAATATATCAAAGTAGACTGTTGATGGATAAAGCTAAATTCAATTCAAGCAAAGGAAGGCTTCGTACCTTAATTGGCTGAGTGAATTTTCTTCCCGCAAACACTAGAAAGAGAGCCATCCACACCCCCAACAAAGCAACTTTTGATCCATCATCCACCAGACCAGTCTATATCCACAGAAACGTTCATTATGTGTCGGGGAAAAAAATTCAAGTCTCACGTGAGAAGACAAGACAAAGCTTATTTCTTTATACAGTCTTCGCGCATGATTGACATTAAAAGTCGGAGAATTTCAAGTTGCAGTGCTGTTACAACTTCACAGACACCAAAACCTTTGGGTAGTCACTTTTTATTAATCATTTAAATGTTCATAAACGAAACAGAAGCTACTATGTATTGCCATTGGGAATTCTCTTAAGTCTGTCAAGTTCCCAACAGTTTCGCAAGTATTGTTGCTGTAATAATGCAAACTTCTAAAGTGAATGTGCTAGGCTTCCAATTGTGCACTAATGGCCTGAGGTTCAATCTCAAGCATTGAAACAGATATAGGCAGTAGCCAGTACTTACCAGATGACCAAGCAGAATTGATGGAATGATGAATGTCAGGATGCCCGCTTCCAATTTCCCATAGCAAAGGCCTGTTACAAAGAGAGTAATGCTATTTGAATCGGCATGAGTTAAGCACGTTTTGAATTACCTTTTTATTTATTAGTCGAAGCTCTAATCGTTGTGGGTTTTGGGGATAAAGGTAGTCAGCGACGGCAGTAGTTATCACATGTGACAATTTGTTATTTGAATCATTAATTTGTTATTTGAGACAATAGAATTACAGAAAATTAATGCCTCAAAATATAAGTTGCCACATATGATGTCTACGGTAGTGCGTCGCTCATTATGAATAGTATTATTCTTTCGAATAAGACCATGATCTCAAGCTCGTTTTAATTCATTAAAAATATGCATTCATGATATAGGATAAATTGTATTTGTAATTAAATATTGAAGAATACCTTCCTTGAATACGAGTCCAGTCAATGCAGCAAAGAGAGGACCTACAAACCAGACAGCCGTTGGATTCTCAACAACATACTCTACTAGACTCTTCCCCTGTGGTTGAGCAAGAGTTATATATGTTGCCAAAGATCCAACCACACCTAACACCCATAAAGCTTGAAGAGCCCGCTTAATTTCTGTTACATATATGTGAATTAAGTACAGAGATAAGCCTAGCCCACAAGCTCCAACACCAAAGAACAAATCAAGATTTCTTTGAATCAATTCGTTATTGGGAAAGAAAGCAGTTGAAGATGCAACAACAAAAGAAGCAGCAGAAATCACCAATCCTGATCTGTATAAAATAACCTCTTGAATATCTGAGGATTCGACAGTCCAGGGACCATAGACCCCTTGATATTCAATTCGTTTCTTACTTACAGTTTGGCATTTTATATTTTTATGGGCCAGCCGAGAAGGAGAAGGAGAAGAAGAAGAAGAAGAAGACCCACGATGGATTAAAACTCTACTGGGATTTCGGAATAGAATATGAGGCTTTGGAAGATGAATTATCGCTGCAGCTGCTAAATGAGCCATTAATCACCGCTTCTTCCTCAGTTTTTGATTTTTTTTTTTTTCTCTGTTTATGAGAAACTCAAACTCGTGGCGGAGAATCAACAAAATAATTAATTATAGTGATAGTGATAATGATAACGATAATGATACAGAGCTTCTTGCCGCCAAGGCCCAAGAATGTTATATCTTCCATACAAGTGAAATAAATGGACCAACTTTACAGTCTAAATTGGGCTCAACTTCATAACATAATCCAACCAAACAAATTCAATTATATCTTTGTAGGAGATTAAAATCATATTTTTAGTAAATTTTAAAAAAAATTAAAAATATTTGATTGAAAAATTGTGGGTTATAATTAAAATTAATTGTTAACTTTAACTTATATTGAAAATCTACGCCGAATTAGGACTATATTTGTTTGGGAAAAGTACATAAATATCATATAAGAATACAAAATCAAATTTAACAAATTTGATCAAAAAAGAAAAAGAAAAAATCACAAATCAGGTGTTAAATTAAAATAACAATAATAACTAATCTTCATCACTCATCTCTTTCCTCTCTCTCCCCTTTTCTGTTCACTACACTGGCCTAGGGATGGCAAGGGCCAGGGAATTCCGCCCCATTACCCATTTAAGTCGGGGAGGGCGGGTTGGGGCGGTTGCCCCGTTTACGTACTCGTTTATATTTTTTTTAATTTTTTTTTTATTTTTGATAATTCATTTTAATGCCCCATTTATTCAAGTGAGATAATAATATAGTTATTAATTTTTTATATTATTTTATTTATTTTTAAAAGTTAAATTATTCGAATATAGTTGGTAAACTAAGGTTTTTTATTATTATTATTATATTCATTAGATAATCTTAGTTACCATTTTCTATTACAATTAATGAAATTTTGTGGAGTTATTTTATTTAGTGCTTGTTTGAGCCTCATTATTTCCTAATAATACATTTTAGAATAGTAGATTGATAGAGAATGAGTGATTAAAAAATAAAAAAATATTGAATTTATGTGTCATATTATTTTTTTAAAGAATGTGTGATTAAAAAAAAGAGATGGAAAATGTATTTTAAAAATAATGGAAATCAAACAAGAGCATGAAGTATTGAATTCTTTAAAAAAAAAGGACTAAATGGGACGAGACCCTCGTTACCCGTACCAGCTTCGAGGCGAAATTTTTCGCCCCGTACTTGACCCAATTACCCGATTAAGCGGGTAATCCTCACCCCGTTCGAAAAAGGTTCCCCGCTAGTATTGGATTGGACGGGTATTTTTGCCATCCCCTACCTCACCCATCGGAGCTTCTCTTCACCCTCGCCTATCGTAGTCGTAGCGGGTTTAACCCCGCGCAGCGATGCTCGAAGGTGCTATGAGTGAGGTGCGCGGAGTGGCACTCCCCACTGTTTCAAATCTAATCCAATTTTTATGCAGTCACTTTGATTTTTGTTAGTGTTGGTTGGTTTTTTTTTTGCAAATGGTGGTGATGGTGAGGTGGTCTTGTGATGAGGTGCTGTCGATTGTAGTGAGATGGTGGTGGTGGTGGTTATAAATTTTGGTCTTATGGGTGGTGGTGGCGACGAAAGTAGTATAGGTGGGGGTGCTAGCTGTTTTGGATCCAGGTTGGGATGAGGCATGGCAGTGGGGGTACGATAGGATAAAAAGTATTTGTGACCAATTGTGACCAAATATGTATTCATTGTGACTTTCTCATGTCAGTCATAACTATGATGGTATGTAACCAATTCACCGTTAATTTGGTCACATGCAGTCATAATCGATCACGATTAAAACAGACTTGATGAAAATCAATTATAATTAACAGAGACTCAGTCACAGAGGATCAAATTTAACATATAAATGGTTATAAGCACCAACACCAACACCACCACACCATCACAATCATTTAATCCATATGCTGCACTTCTATTCTCATTTCTCTGCCCTCCAAATTAGATCCATTGCCACTTGTTGACCATCATATTAGCGTGCCTTGTAGTGGCACTGTACCGCGCGCGGTGGTGCTGGACAAGGTGTCATTGGCACCGAGCATAGTGGTGTTGTTAGAGGCACCAATGAGCACAATTATTTACTTCCAAGCCTCTAATATTCAGCCAATACATTAACACTTTTAGGGCATATTCGATGTAGATTTTATGAGAATGGATTTTGTGAAAAATGATTCTTTGACGAATGTGTGGCTAAAACGTGTAAAATTATTTTATTGAGTAAAAATGCGTTACCGGAAATGAGTTTGGGGAAAAAAAATGCTTAAAGAATCTGAATCAAATATGAGCATAATCCTTTCTCATTCGAGATTAAAATTCATAATCTAGGTTGAGATATACTCTTGCAAATCAAGGCTCAAGATTTTTTATTCAACTAAGATTTGGATTTATAAAATTTTTGTGTGGTAGTTTATGCAGAATTGGACTAATCTCTTTTGTTGGTTATAAATATGTTGTCGCACAATTTGACTCGTGCTCAAGAGCCTTTAACGTGGCTTAGGTAAAACTGTAGCAGCGGTTGGCTAACCTCATAAGGTTGGCACTTTCCTGAAAATTAATTTGGAGTTACTATGCAGTTTTGGTGTTCTTTGTTCAAGTTAGTCATGGTCAAAATCTTGGGGTTGACACAACTATTGTCATCTTTTAAGTGTGGCTTGAACTTGTTTTGCTAATTTTTAATGTCAATTCAATTAATGAAAAATTACCTTGGTTTAAAGGATGTATAAATACTTTTGGAAATATCGAGAGGATTGAAGAATTCATGATGAAACGTTGGGTATTTCTTTAAACTTGCAAAGAAAAAATTAATTTCAATGCCCAAAAGCTGAATCGTCTTTGTGTGTAGAATTTATGATAGAAAAGTATACGTTTAGAGATTTTCATACGTTGCGAGTATTTTGAATCCGATATGCCATGATCGCAACATATCACAATGTCTAGATATTCAGCTTAAGTCATAGGCTTTTGGAGATTAAATTTAGGGTTTTTGAGTATCTCTTGCTCTAGCAAGGATGCAATGAAAAGTTCCATAAAATTTTATACCTGGACACCTAAAGTCAATAACCGATTAATTCACTTCGACCCAAAATGGTTAAACCAACCCATTAATTGGGTCTAGCATGTTATCAACAATCTCTCACTTGGATTGGGTTCAATGTCAATTTCATAATTTCGATTCTCGTCTTTTGTTTGTAACTCATTAGGTATTCATCCACGATAGTATTATCCTATTTGATCAAAATACAATAAATGAAACTTTTCTTTTAATTTAATATACCTAGATAAATTAATTCATGTTGCATTTCAAGATTGACATCTAGAAATGTGTCGACACAATCCATATGATGTGGAATGTCATGTGCCGTGACAAACATTTTTGCCAGGTTGTCGTGAAAATATAATCCTTTCACAAGTATAATCTAATTGATTACAAGATACAGATAAATGCCAATCTGGATTTAATATAGCATATTATTTCTCATGTTTTGGAGACCTATGTTCTATCGAATTGAACTAAAAGTGCTTGTATAACAAAATAAGATAAGACTGTAAAGAAAAGGATGGTCCTTTTATTTTGATACCCCATGTCTTTCCCTTTAACGCTGTGTCAAGGCCACAACAGCAACACTACAAGAAGACAACGTTGTCAAAGTAGCGCCTCTATCGTTCCCTCCTTCCAGGTTGGTAGAGCACCTCGTTTACATGTGCGCCAATGTTTTTCAGGGGTCCAGATGTTTGTTAGGTATTTCTATCAAACACAAATAAAGAAGAGGAAAATGTTTTTGGAGTTGTTGGAGCCATGGTCTACCCAGCAATGCTTCATATCTCCCTTGCTTTTTGTGCCAGTGAAGGAATAATGGAGCAAGCAATAGGAAATGGCGGGAGCACCGTTGAACAGGTCCACTTGCTGCTTGCTGAAGCTCGCTTCTCCTTAACTTGATCGGAGTTATGCTTGAAATATTTCACCTAATAATTTCACCATGGTCAAATAATTTCTCTATCAACGTGGACGAAAAACATGTTATAATTTCTCACCATCTAAGTGATGAATCATGTATATGTCCTACATTAATTTTCATATGATTCTCAATACACTCATATGAAGACATATTATTGATCATAGAAAAGGTAATGTTCTACCAAAGTGTGTTGATCCCCATGTAAGATTCTATGAGAATTCAAGTCGATGGACTAAAATCCACTACCTAACACTTAGAGAATTTCCCTGACAGTTCCCAGTTGGTAATACAATGAAGTAAGATTTCATTATCGAAGAATATGACACTTATCAATGCACATTTGAATCCTACCTTGATCTCTTCCATACTAATCATTATTAGCATCTCATCTATGCACGTGGATTGGGACAATTAGAACAACCTCCTAAATCTATCTCTATAGATCTTGGTTCCCAGAATGCAAATCGTCATTTCCATATCCATCAAGGAAAAACTTTAAATAGCTTCACTTTCATTGATTGTGATATGGGAATATGATTACTGGTCAACGATATGTCACCCATATATTGTACCAGAAATACAAATGTGCTCTCACTAACCTTGTATACACAAGTGGTTCAACATTATTTTAATAAAATTAAACAATTCAATTACTTAATCAGAACATATTTTCAAGCTCCTGGAGTTCAATCCATAAATGAACTTCTATAGATTACACACCACATTCATGTACTGCTACAAGCATAATTCTAACATAGCTACAATAAAAAAAGTCAGCTCTTAGTCTTTAATTGTAGTAATAAATCAACCAGTCTAACCTTTTAAGTATGAACATTACTATCCAGTTGACCCTTTTACTTGTAAACTTATTTACCTTCCATCTATTATTGGATAGGCCAACCAAAGTCCAAACTTTGGTTTTCAAACATGAAATTCATATCTGATTCCATGAATTTCTGTCAACTTTTTAAGTCGACGTTTGACTTAACTTCTGCACAGGTATTAATTCCATCATCTTTGATTAAAAATATATTATTAGTAATAAGGAATTTGTATATCCGAGAAAAACAATGATATTAATAGACTTACGTTGATCTAGGGCATCATTAGGAATAACCGTGTTGTGAGTAGCTAGCACATTCTCAAAGACGATTTAAGCCTAACTGATACGGACTTAGGATCTTACGAATCTAATCTGATTATTATATATTAACAATTTAACTTATGGTATCACGATGAGTACAAATTGGAACCCCACCATAACCATGGTGAATGGGCTGCAGCCAGCGGGGGGGGGGGGGGGGGGGGGAACCCCAGCCAAATTGGTCGGGCAGTTGGACTAGCAATTGTGAGTTTGCTAGTTCGATTCCTGTTGGAACTGCATATTGACCTTCTTTGTTTGAGCCGATCAGCTATGAGTAACCTAGGCTGGTTTACCTCCTTGTGGTCCTTTGCCGGCTAGGATCATAAGGCGGGGTTTACCTAGTGCGCACTTTCGGATAGCGGCTGCGGTTCCTTTGTCAAAAAAAAAAAAAAAAAAAAAAAAAAATTAAATTTTTTTTTTTTTAAAAAAAAAATAAAAAAAAAAAAGCTTAAATTTTTTGTCTTATAAAATAAAATTGGAAAAAAAAAGTTTAAAAAAATGAGTTTCAAAGTCTGGAAAAGAAAAAGAACATGCGAGTGGTCCGTGCGAGCCGCAAAAATTGAAAGTTAGATGCCGACAACCGAAAGCAGATCAAGTGTTGATATGAAATCTGATGGTGGTAGGTCCATTTTAAACCCACGCCGGCATTGGGATACACGTCCCACCCCCGCGTGCGAATGGATCCCACTCAAAATAAAGAAGTTTCTAATTTCGTTTTGCCCTTTAATTTAATCTCTCCTTTTTGGGCTTTCCCCAGGATGGATTTTCCCTTTTAAGGCCCACCACAAGGATGAAAGAATTCTGCTTGCATGCTCGAAGCAAACTTCACCGAAGATTTGACATAAATTGATGCCTACGCATGTTTTGAGTTTACATATTAGTTGTCAGCTAATTTTTTCGGGGCTGTGCTACACATACATTAGAGTGTCTATAACGGTGTCCACCGTCTCACGTAAAGTGGTACTCACTTCAAATAAAATATAATTTACTGAAAGTAGGTCCCCTTCATGGGAGGAGAGTAAACACCGTTATAAACACCACATTATATACAAGTAGTATATTCTATTTTTATATATATGGAATCGATGGAATAAATCAATCTAGTATTAATTTGAGAAATGTACAACTTGTCTACAATCTAAGCCCCTGTTTTATGGTTATTATTTGGGGGAAAACAATGTTTTGAATAATGATTTTAGAAGAATTAGTTGGAGTTGAATGTGTATAGGAGGTTATTCTGAAATACTTTATAAGTGCTGTAAAAGTAATATTTGATACCGATTTGTTGAGGGGATTTAATGAATCTCAAACGAATTAAAGAAAATAAAATTTATGATAGATATTTAGGAGAAGAAATTTGTACTCAAAATTCATCTTTTATGATCCAAATTTTTTTATGATGATGAAATACTACAAATGAGTAATATATTTATGCTATATATGGTACATAGGACATAATTAATAATACATGAATTTAAACACCCATTAAAATTTTTATATACATGATAGAAATAAATTTCATCTATAATAACTCTAGATTTGTGTAAATCAAGATTCATTGAGTCTAGATTAATGTGAACGTTAAGAGCAAGGTATTATTGAAATAATTAAATTATAATATTGTTAAAATCGTTCAAAAAATTATTTTCACTTGATGTTATATTTAATATATTATAAATATATAGTTAAAAAATAGGCAAAAAAATTTCAATTTACATGTATAATATTTTATTATGTGAATGTGTGGTGAAAAATGAGTACGTAAAAAAAAGTGTTTTCAAATAATGATAATATAATTAATTATTTTGTATCACTTGCAATTGGATTCTTTCAATTTCATGCATGCTACTTGCTTGCTAGCTAGCTACTAAATGAACAACTATGGGCAAGGAACTTTCAATTTTATCAACAAAGTTAACAGCCTGTTTGGGAGTGATTTTTTGGCCCAAAAAATTGATTTTTTGACCGTTGTTTTACTATTTCAACTGTCATATTTGACTTCTTCTCTCACAGGTGGATCTTACGTTTCTCCTAATGGTCAAAAAAAAAAATTTCAAAATCACTCCCAAACATGCTCGCATTATTGTTCCAGCTATATTGAGTTGCATAAATGAATTGAAAATTCCCTCAATTAATAGAAGCTTAACTACACATATATTGAATTTGATAAGTAAAATTGATTATAGCGATTGAGCTCATAACAAAATCATGTCAATAATGCTACATATACACCTTTTAGACAAAAAAATTGACAAATGGCAACCAAATTGCATATCACCTCATCATCAGTCAACAAAGGTGTAAACAATAATTGTACAAATAGATTAATAGGAATAGTATACATGTTGATACAAAAAATAATATTGGTGGCAAGCGAAGTACATCTCGGATATTTCAAGCAAACTTGCAAAGTGATCATGATATACTAATTAATGAAAGCTTCTGAATTCTGATCAAATAAACTAACTCAGCCACTGCATGATTTTAATTACTCGTGATTTGGACTGTTAGAGTCAAAATCATTTCCATATTTTGAAGTAAAATCCAAACCAGAAAACCCTTGAAACTCGGACGGAATATTCTGAAAATCTTGTTGCCGTTGCTCGTGGTGCTGGTGGTGGTGAGGCACTAAGCCAGAGCTACTAACGGTGGAATAGTCTGGTATCTGAGAGGTGGAATGGCTTCCTCCTTGATTATAGAGAGCTGAAGTGAAATAAGGGAAATCTGCATCACTGCTACGAAGCAATTGTGCATATTGTTGAAGCCCGGGAAAAGTGTTCTGTGACATTATGGGATCATAATTATTATAAGCAACTTGATCAACTTGCTGCTGCTGCTGCTGATGATCAACTAGAAAACTGCTCGAACCGCTACCTCCATCACTGCTTATATATCGCAATTCCGTGTTCCCATGAACACGTTCTGGGAAATTGAGCTTAGCTTTGGTGCCTTTGAACCTAAGAGCAGCATCGTCATATGCACGGGCAGCATCCTCAGCTGTCTCGAAGGTACCAAGCCAAACTCGAGCTGCCTTTTTGGGATCGCGTATTTCTGCTGCCCATTTCCCCCATGGCCTTTGTCGCACTCCTCTATAATGTTTCCTCACAGATCCTTCGTCAAACAATATAAAGTTAACGGTTGTACAATATGTATATAATAATTTACATATATATGATGTGGTGAGATATGATTGGATCAGAATTTCTTCAACTAAAAAAAAAAACAAAGCTTCAACGCTCTCTTTGACACCTCGTCCACATCTGTATGTAAATCATTATGTAACTCTATTATATACAAGCAGCATTATCCTAAAGCTAATTTGCCTTAATCACAAGAAGGAATGATATACTAACGAGAAACTAGAACTACATGTATCCTTGGCGCCAAATTTTGCAAGAAATTATAATGATACAAATTATGAGCAAGTTAATCATATAGGTACAGAATTTATTTTCTATGAATTAAAAGTTTTTCAGCTGTATATCTTAAAGCATAATGGCAAGTTCACTCTAAAAATGCACACATTTTGAATTATGTACTTAACAGGATAGGAGTTTAGTTGATCAGGATTAGTGTGATCATTGAATAGAGCGAAGTATAGACACTCTTACTTGAATAGCATGTATGTATTCCATATGTCGGAAACAGATACGGAGTCAGGAGATACAAAAATAAATAAATAATAAATATCGCATTGGACTAATACATAGAAGGAAATAAATAAATGGACTCAAACAACCCTGGGAGGTCTAAGGTCAAGGGCTGATCCCTATCTCCATTCCTTGATTGGGAAGACCAATACTCTCTATATGCTCCCGAGTTTGACATGATGGGGTGTGATTGCGTCCTATCTTTACATATATTTTAACATGTCGGCTATGTGACAAATATTTTCAAGACACACTTCGTGTACATATTTGACAAACCATCATAATACTAATAGTTCCAACACAAGAGGAATATGAAATCCCCATTTCATAAATTTTGAAAAAATAGTAATAAGTAAATATTTTCAAGCACTAAAACATTTTTGTAAAAAATTTCTAAAAACTTCATATCACATTTGCTCTACATCTACAATGTACATTTTCCTTTCTCTATCTACTTTTCGATTTCAAAAGTTTCACTTGCAAAAATGTAAAAAATGTAAATCGACTTGTTTGTGACTTCGCGTCATTAGCAAGATTATCTATAAATACAAAAATTAATGGATTACTTTGAGCACATTTTTCTTGAGTGTAAATGTAGCTTCTTTATCTAAAGAAGGGAAAATAATGTACAAAAGAGAGATGGATGAAAGAAAAAAAAGTTACATTAATCCATATTAAAAACATGGCAAGAATCATAGGTAGAAGTTGGTAGGCGAACATTAATATAATTGTCAAGAATTGGTAACACACGTGTTTGATTGATATTAAGGAAAAAGTAACAAGCATACAAGTATCAACATGTGTGAATCTAATTACTACAACTTGGACAACTCCGAAAGAGAGATCTACAGCAATCTAAAAGACAGAGAGAAAAAAAAAAGTTACATTAATCCATATTAAAAACATGGCAAGAATCATAGGTAGAAGTTGGTAGGCGAACATTAATATAATTGTCAAGAATTGGTAACACACGTGTTTGATTGATATTAAGGAAAAAGTAACAAGCATACAAGTATCAACATGTGTGAATCTAATTACTACAACTTGGACAACTCCGAAAGAGAGATCTACAGCAATCTAAAAGACAGAGAGACACTACTTTACGGAAAGTAACTTAAATACATACAATGAACTTGGCTTATAAAGAACAAAATCTTGCCTTTTTCTCTCTCTTTTCCTTTTCTAAATTATATTCATCTTCTGGAATAATTTAAAAAAGGGTTTGTTTGATGCAACTTGATTATAATTAAAAAAAGAAAAAAAAAAATGATTAATTAAGCAGAAAAAGTAATAAACATACCACCTTGATCTTGCTGTGTTTGAGTAGAAGGGTGATGCTGATCTTCTTGATGAGGGGCACTCATAATTCTTGTGAGCCCTGAAACCATAGTTGAAGTATCTCTTTCAGAAGGGAAGTTATATTCTTCTTCTTCCTTTTCCGATGCTTCCACTGGAAGTGGTCTTCCATGCCTTCGATCCACCTTCAATCCTCAACTTTTTACCAAGATTGAACTTGAAAACTGAAATCTAGAATTGGGTTGGTGAGATTTTTTTAATTTTTATTTTGTTTTGAAGGAAAAATTAAATGAGAGGAAATAGGGTTGAGAACCAGGGTTTTCTATGTATTGAAAGCAGTAGTTTACTGCTATTGTTTCTATTTATGTTGGGATATATATAGGGTTCAACTTTTTAATGATATAAAATAGAAAGGGAAAAAGAAAAGAAAAGAAAAGAAAGAAGCGTGAAAGTATGCATATCCTGGGTAGGATCACGGAGACTGGCTTTAAGATGACAAGAATGAAATGGTGGACTAAGACAAAAAGTGTGATATATATTCTTAGAACAAGACAATGAATTGATAAGAAGAGATCTTATTAGAGTTTATCTCTTCTCATCACTACTCTCTGCCAAAAGTAGTAGTGAGATTATGAGATCAAGATTTCAATCCTCCACCGAATCGTACGTGTGTTCACGTGCGCGTGTGATATACAGATCTTTTCAATAATCACGTGATTAATTAAATTTTTTCCTTAATAGATTTGGAGTTGTTTGTATGATTTTTTTTTCTCCATCATGTAGCTAGTTGATTTTTATTTTTATTTTTATTTTTTTACCACTTTTTTTTTTTTTTTGGTTCATGAAATTGTGACAAAGATTGAAATTGAATTCTTTGAGATTTTATTGCAAACTAGCTAGGATCAATGGAAAACCTAATATTACATACTGCAGTTGTTTATTTTCATTCATTAATTTTAACTACGATAACAAAACATGAAAAATAAAGATATGAACTTCTTTAAAGCTAATTAATCTGGCAATTGTTCTTGAGGTTTTGTAATTAATCCTAGAATCATGAAATTAATTTATCTAATTTTAAGGACTGCAATACGAATTAACAAAAATTTAGAAATTTGTCATCATGGAAAATGACAATATAATGGATTATTAATTACCTAGAATTGTGGGGAGTATATCACGTTCAGATATAGACAAAATTGAATTTGACAAGTTAATTAATATGAGCTGATGTTGCTTGTGGTTCTTACTATCATTTTGTCTTTAAATACTATTCAATTAATATATATATAGTTGGTTGAATAAATTGTAGTTAAATCCTGAACAAGAACATGCATTTTTATATATATATATATATATATAGTTGGTTGAATAAATTGTAGTTAAATCCTGAACAAGAACATGCATTTATATATTCATTTGCACATGTACTAGCTTAAGGCTAACGAGCAATTACCTCCAAGAAATCACACTATTTGGTGTAAGTTAATAAATTAATCTATCAACTTAAAATATCGACAATTTTTTATATACATATATTATTAATGACATTCTCTATAATCTAAGTTTATTTTGATAATTACCGTGGAGAAAAGTACCAAAACGCTTTGATCATTGATGACATTGTCAATAATTGTCAATGGTATGACTATTGGTAATTCGGATTAAGGTCAATATATATTGGTAATTCAGGCGAAACTATAGTAAATAGTACATTTGATGATCATTGACACACCTTCATCAATAATTAGTGTCAGAGTTGCTATTGAGAATCACCTTCGATACTTCAGTCATCGAAGGAGGGTAATTGCGGTACTAACAAAATTTTACTATTTCCATATTTTACGTTTTTATAAGATATTGATAAATAAAAAAAAAATATTTTTGTCTTCTTATAATATTATTGACTAATGAATTATATTTTTAACTTTTATTTTGTTTAAGATAGAATTTTCGTTTACTATTTAATTTTATATTTTTATTAATTTATTTGTTATGAATCTTTTGGTAAAATAAACTTTTAAACTATTTATGTTTTTAATATCACTATCATTCATAATTTTTATTTATTTTTAAAGGTTTATCGTTATGGACATAATTTTTCATTAAAATAAAAGTAAAAATATATAAAATATAAATTTTATTGAAGGAGCTTTAGACAATGTATTTTATTTATTTACTTTTAAATTAGCTTGACAGGTTCTATGTCAGAATACTGAAGAAAAAGAGTTTCACATTTTATTGTTCTAAGCATATTTTTTGCAATGTTCGTGCCAACTTCCATTTTATTAAACCTTGAATACAAAGGTCAATCTTATTATTTTCTTATTCAATTTTGAAAACAAAAATTTCTTTTATTTATATTTTTCATTTCAAAGCATATTTTTTTAAAAACTTAAACTGTTAAATAGTTTACTATTAAATTGTTAAATAGTTTTCTAGCTGTCCAAATATATAAAGTGTTAAGAAGCACAAGTAAGATCCCATTAAATCAAAATTATTTATTCTCAAACTCATTTTCAATCATATATTCACATAATAAAATATTTTTGCACATAAGTTAAAAAAGTTTTATTTACTTGTTAATCATACATTCTCTCAAAAATCGTAATTTCAAAATTTATTTTTCCAAAAAAAAATAATAATAATAAATCCTCAATTTAAGGAGGTCAAAGATTGGTTCAATGAATGTATAAAATATTTAAAACATTATATTGTATAATAACAATATCCTTATCTAAGATGAGTTACAATTTGATATAGTAAGTCAAAGTGTTCACATGAAAGGATGTGACATAACGGGAGACTTGTAATGTGTGATAATATGGGATCTTTACCAATGTTTTAACTCTAAAGGACCAAAATTCCAAGACACCAATTGAAGTCAGACTGTGCCTACCATCACTCTTTCATGTGATTCTGTCAATCTTCAACATCACTCCTACTCCACCACTACCACCCCTATATTGACAATTAATCAAAAACCATTTTGTCAATATCTTCCTTATCTTGGGCACATGCCAAGTCCAGAACATTCATTACCTTTCTTCAAATTAGGATACGTTGATATTAAGAATAAAGCTACTCTACCAAAAAATGGTTTATGCCCTACATAACAGATATTTACATGTGTGTGGGTTCTGCGCCGACCCCACATGAATAAAAAATATAAAAAGCCTTGGAGTGTCTAATCTGTCAAGAAGGACGTAAGCACCCTTCTGTAGGACCAGCAAGGTCATATATCCTTAACTAGAGGATTATGAATATGCTATTTATGTACAATAAAAACTTTTTTATAGTCATACGATTAAGATTAAACTAATTTTATTACTATGAGAAGGTTATAACTTAATAGAGGGGTAGTCATGAAAATTCTTATTTTGACTTAATTATATTTATTGTAACCAGTATAGAGACGTAAAGTACTTATTTTATTGATATAATTTAATAGAGACATATATAATGAGAGAAGATATAGACATCATTTTTATAAATTAGTACATGTCTATTTGTAGTGTTGAAAATATGTACAGTTGTCTTGAAAGTCTGAAATTTTATGTTCTCTTTAATTTTTTAATTCTATAAATACATTGTGAATAACAAAATCCAGGCGATCCTCAATAAATTCAAGTGATACATTTCCTTCTTCCTCTAGCAAAACAACGACGCAACTCAAAAGTCAACATATGAACTCAACCGAGTGAGAGTATTCATGTTGAGTTGTGCAAAACGAAAGAATCAAACCCTAATGAGCAAGTAAAAGATCTTATGAAGTGGTTAAAAGCTACTCATGGTCTTAAAGTATCACCTACAGAATATCTAAAACACTCAAACGATCAATCGACCTACTTCAAGAAGAAATATTGGCGAACCTAAATGCAAAACTTTTGTAGATAGTAAAGTACCCAGAAATGGGATCTATCATCTATGAATGATTTATATCCTCTATGAATGATTTATATGCCATCAAGAACATGTCAATATGAGTTTTGAATTGCTAGAAGGGAAGGAAAATATTTTCCTAAGGCAATTTCCAAATGGATCGTTGGAAAAGTTCAAGCAACGATAAGCAATTCATTTCTTTCATCATTTTTGGAAGAGTGGTTCAATTGATATGGAGTAAATTGAAGCTGTTTTGCCACCAATAAAAATGGAATTAGACAAATGGACTTGAAAGAACATTTACAATATGGATTAAACTAACTTTTTTTTTTATCTCATGTGAGTTCTTACAACAAAGTTGTTGAAGGGCCGAAAGTGAAATAAAAAGATGAATAATTGTTAGGGAAAATTGCGGCCGAGGTACCAAACATTTCGTTTATTGGCAGACTTGACTCAAATCTCTCATCTGTGCTATCGAAGATACCAAACCTTTAAAAAATTCGCACCCAAAATCCAAATTGACAAAAACCGTTAGATTGACTGTTATTGACCAAAAATCAAAGGTCTAACCAATTGTTGATTGATTTTTAAAGGGGCAAATGTGTAACTTTACATTTTCATATAAAAAACTTAAATAAAAAAATTATAAAAATAATTGATCAGACCTTTGATTTTTGGTCAATAACAGTCAAACTAACGGTTTCTGTCAATTTGAACTCCCAGTGCGAATTTTTTAAAGGTTTGGTACATCTGTTGGCACAAATGAAAGGTTTGGATTAAATCTACTAATAAATGAAGGTTTGACACCTCGACTACGATTTTCCCTAATTGTTATTTGTTGCAATATTGATGACTCTGACAAACTTACACTTCGAATAATCAGTAAGTTTCTTAATCCAAATGCTTTAAGAATATCAAACGCAATACTCACAATTGTAAGTATCGAACAAATTCAAATGCATGAATGACGCCTTCATTTTTATGGAATGGTTTAAGTGATTTGATAGTCGTTTGGCTAAAAATGTCTTGCTTATCATGAATATTTATGCCACACGTGGCAAAAAGGAGATGCTCCTCCACTTCATCACGCATTTGTCTATTCTCATCATCAAATAGTACTTCCAAAATCCAGCTATCTGATGCAGGCATCATTAAAATTTTAAATATTATAATCATCAACGCTTTAATCGCCATTTTGAAAAGAATAGAAGATCGTGTCTTGGAACTAGCGAAGATCGGTGTCCTCGATGAAATTGTAGATGCAATTGCTAACTGTTTTTATCAATGTAAAATTAAGACCTCAAACCCTCAATGTCAATGAATTGCAAGTTACAAATGAAGTGGACGAGGAAAATCAAAGAGTCATTGCAGAATCGAGTAAACAATATTCAACAACCTTACTATACTAATAGAATGGATATTAAAGTCTTTCTTAATCATCCAAATGAGCAACAAGTCATGTAATCTTCAACTGAAAAAGAAACCATAGCTGCAATTAGACAAAAAGAGAAAGTAGATAATCCTAAGGATGATTGCATGAAAATACAAAAAGTTTCGCTCTATACATGTTTGAAAAGCTAGAAATATATCGACTTTAACAAGATGTTGATAAAAAGATGTTCATGCTGACGAGTTACTACGTACCCACAACTTTAAAGATGTGATAACAAATCTAAAGAATAAATCATCCAATTTTATATAAATATTTTACTTTATTTTTAACCTTTAAAGTAATGTGACGTATATTTTTTGTTACATTACCATGTGAAGACAAGTTTTCTTAAGGAAGCTAAAAAATTTATGACTTATTATAAGGTGGAGTTTATTCTTATTTATAATTGACCCATGTAGGGACCAAAATATGTATAACTACTATATATATTTTTAATAAAACCAATTACTGTTTTTGTCTTAATTACGAGAGAGAGAGAGAGAGAGAGAGAGTCATCCTCTTAAACAGCCAAATCATTGAGATGAATGAAAGTAAGGGTGGCCATTAAAAAGGGATGAGGTTTCGGTGAGCCATCCACAGCCACGTGCACATCTAGAATGGTAAAGTTCAAATACAGTGCTTGTTTAGTAGTAATTTTGATAATTGATTTTTTTACCGTTAGAGATAGAGTACGTCCTACTTGTGAAAGAAGAATTCAAAAATAACAACTGAAATAGTGAAATAACGATCAGAAATTTGATTTTAATTGACTTTAAGCTCTACCAAACAAGCTCACAAACTACTCTAGAAAAAAAATTGCATATGCCAGCAACTCAGACAATATGAGTGGTAGAAACAAAGGATGCACAAAATGCAGACGTCCTCCAATTCAAAACAAATGATACAACAAAAAATTGTTAACAATCTCTCAGAGATCTCTTAGCATACTGCCCAAAATTAATAACAAAAGGAGGAAAATGAAAATTGCCAAGAGAAAAAAGATATGGCAGGACTTGCCTCCATGCAGCAGCATAATTTGCCGTCGCTCAGAAACTCCCTATACATATAGAATTTAGTTCCTCAAAATCGTTTGCTCTGTCAACCACAAATTGCAATGCAACTCCTGGGTCAACCAATCTGTCAAATTTCTGCACTCTCCAAATTCACAAAGATATTTTCTCCCTTCAGCTGCTCCGTTTATGATCCTTAATTTACATTAGTAAAATTCAGTGAATGACTAATACATACTCGATTCTACAGTGTTAGTGCTCACAAAACGGAACCAACAGCTCAAACTGAATCCTTGCCAGAACCTGAAGATGAGTCTCCATTGGAAAATTCATCCCCATTCAATGGGACTTCTTGATTGAAGTCCTCACTAGTGCTGGCTCTAATTTTTCCAGGCCTTGGTCGAATACTAGTGCCCATTGGGAAGGGAACCTACAAAAGAAATACACAAATATCAGATGTTCCATATTTCTAGATAGTTGCCGGATTTTTTTTAATACAAGTATGATAATACTGGTCCTCTGTTGGTGAAAATCAGGTAACTGACAAATTTTGCATGCATGTAAATACTAGTTCTTGAAAATATGACACACATAGCAGCACAAAACCATGAACCAAAGTTAGTTGCGTCTATTTCTTGCAGAAGAAAAACAACATATATATGCTCTCTGAAAAATTTTAAGATCTGCGAAGCTTGTGTCTATTGTGAGTTCGAATACACATCCAACCAGAGCATGGGTAATTTGTTTAAAACCATAACCAACCAAAGCTCTCAAGGTGACTTGGGCCTTGTGAGTTTTGGTTAGTGGTTAGGTACCAGACAAATTCAAAATCTGCCTTTCACAAAACAATAAATGATATGATGAGCTTAATTCTGAAAAGTGAGATTTCCATGCCTACATCAACAAGAAGAAAAAGCTGAGCCTTATCCCAATAACTTGGATTTCCACATTAAGGACAAAATAAGCTTTAGGGAATAGACCATAACTGTTGGTTCAGCTGGGCACTTACCTGATCACCTGCATTAGGACCCTCAGTATGGAAGAGAATAGGGCGGCATCTCTTGTCTTCGTTCATCAAGCTTGAATTCTGGAAGTGTGCAATGAGGGCAGCCTTTCCCTGTATACGAGCATATGCCAAGGATGCCACTTTTTCACTATTGAACTTCTCCCATTTCTTTCCATTGAAAGTCTGCCAATAACAATATTTGCTACTTCAATTTAAACAAATAATAACAACTGCAATAAGAATCTTACTCTTTTTTTTTTTTTTCACAAGAAGTGGCATAGATGAAGCATACCTGATAAAAAGGAATTATGAGGGTAGGATCAGTCATGTTTATAAACGCATAACCCACATTGCATTTGTTCTGGAACAAAATGGAGTAACAAAATATTAGACATCAAAATAATAAACCTATTCCCATGATCAATATGTCATCAAGGGAGACCCCGTTTGCAAACATGAAACAACGTTTAGAGAAGTAACAAACACTTGCCTTGAAATCAATAGGTAAGTAAATGAAATCATAAGTCCCTCGATGGCGTTCATCAATGGCAGCCAAAAGCATCTTTGAGGTGTACCTAGATTTGACACCATAATGAAATAGAATCATGCCCAAGAAAGGGAAAGAAAAATTAAATAATCCAATTAACTTCAAATATTGATACAGCAAAGCAAGATCAAAAAGAATCTACTGGACCCAGTCCTTGATATTTTAACGATCTATTTAGCCTGGTTTGGAAGGTACAAACGTGGCAGTTCAATAATAAGATAGAACTTCAGTAAATCGAATGGTGCGTAAGCATTTATTATATGCAAATGCATACTAACACATGGCAATAGGTTGTTGAAGGTTAGATCAAGTTCCAAGCTGGTCACAGCATAAATGTTTACACAAAATTTTCCAGATCAAAGCATCGTAAAACAAAAATAAGGTGAGGATTGTGCTGGTATTGAAGAAAGGCAATTGCATGAAATGAGGCTTGAAAGAATAGCAGGGTGGTCGAGTGCATGAACACAGCAAAATTAAGCTTCAATCAAATTTTCCTGTCCAGCCAGTCATCACCTCTCCTAATATATCAAATGAGTATATCAAGTCAAAACGTGAACATTTAGTTATTTTAATCACTTTTGTTATAGTTTACAAATTACTGCTTATTTGTACTTAATCTAGTAGCTAGATAGTTGCAAAATGATATCAGAAATGAAACTGTCAGCTTGGAAATATAATAGCATGATTTCAGAAATTAAAGAGAATAATTTGTACTTGTTGGGAATGTTCTTTATCATTAGTGTCGTGCGCTTGTCTTCTCCACATACAATTCGGTCTATGTCAAGCTCAAATTGTTTCTTGTTGTCAGATTGACTTGAGCTGCCTTCGTTTCTGCGTCCTCTATTCCGTTCAGTAGGAGAATCAAATGAACTCATCATAGAAATCATTTGGCCTCCAGTAGGAAACATCATGCACCTCTGATGATGAGTATGCAATCCAATATTTTTAGAAGGGATTGGCAGGTCCATATAATTTCCACCAGTGCGAGGAAAGATGTCATGAGGGATAAATTCCAAAGGATGTGGTGAACTACCCGATCTCATCAAATTTGCAAGTGAACCTGGGTGAAAAGCAGTGCCATCAGGAGATTCCCCAGCATAAGCATGTCGTCTATCCCAGAGAGCAGGATTGGCAGACGGTGCTGACCCCACATGGTGGTTATTTATAGGCATAAATGCATTCAGCATATGAGATGGTGCTCTAGGAACTGAATGCAATTGTTGAGGACGAGCAGCACCAATCCCATTGACAAACGATGGCGAATTTGACCACACAATGCCTTGCGACTGAGGATGGTGTGAATTACTCCACAAGTAGTGACGCCCAGGAGGAGGACAGCTTCCATTTCCAGAGGAACCAAAAACTGAGAAACAGAAGAAAACCAGATAGTCAGAACATCAAAGAAACTAGCAAGTTAAAAGCTGGGTTCATTACGTTCTGTAATAAGAAAGCCTTGTATGTTGAGGGTCCATTTAGTAAAAGGGTGGGCTGTGATCGCCATTGTTGGTAAGCAGGGAAATTGAAGATTCCAGAATGGAAGCTGAATTATCAATTTCCAGTGTCCTTTTCTTATTCTTTCTTCATCTGTTCTAAAGAAAATTTTGCTACATGAATACAACCATCAGACTTCACGGCGTCTTTTCACCCTTTTCATTTTCCTTAAGATTGCTGAATTAGGGAGCCACTTTGATATCCATTAACCGCAACAAAGAAAATTAAAACAAATATGAAAATGGTAAGACAATTAGCCACTGGCACTTACCACCTTCATCCAACTCAATTGACTGCCCATTAGAGCTAACTCTATGAAACTGCTGGTTCTCTAAGATTACTGGTGGTCGAACACTGATATTTGTAACCATGTTACTGGTAGAACCAGTGGGAGGCCCATTAGTTAAACCATCATGATATTCTGGAAGTGAATGGGGATGGGAATTTGACAACCCCTGAATTTCAAACTTTAGGTTTCCCTGTGAGTGACCAGATTCACCAAAACTGGACTGATTTCCTACTGATCCCATCCTCACCAGAGAGGGTAAACTGTTAGGTACACTAGATGATGCCCCATGGTGAAACATGTTATCCAAGAGTGGACTAATTGGGTGTCCATTCATCAAGTGTGAACCAAGAATAGTTCTGTTGTTCGTACTTGATGTGATTCCCCCAAGTGGATATGGTCCTGGAAAAAATTTAGGACAACACGTGACCACGTTTCCCGTTGATAGAAAGCTAATCAGCAGTGTAGATTATGAGAAGTCAATTACCAGAAAATACAGAAGTCAAGTTATTAGGAGGGCTATTCTGCTGCACTTGAAGACCAGATTCTTCTTGGTCCAGCTGCATTAATCTGTAAATAGCAAAGGTTAACTTGGTAAAGTGAATAAGAAACAAATATTAGCTGTAACATCCATCATTCAATAACTAAAAATCACCAAAGTGCGATTCCTGGATCACAAGATTTTATAAATGAAGAACACCAAGAAAGCAAACAAAGAAGAATTAGAGAAGACGATGAAGATAGAAACTGCTCAAGTAAAAAGTGAAAGAAAAGAACAAGTGCTAAATATCCACCTTTCAAAACCACCAGTTACGTTCGCTTCAACTTTAATCTGCTTTCCAGCAATTTCACTCCTGTTCAATGCACGAAGAGCAGCTTCTGCAGCTCTAACGTCATAAAACTCTATCAATATCTGATGACCTCTATTGGGGGTCCCTTGAATCTACATCCCAGAAAGAGTAGTTAGTAACCGTATTAACATGCCATCTGAACAGACAAGGTTGGGACCCAAGCTTACCTCCTTGATCTCACCATAAACACCAAAAATTTGTCGGAGTTCATCAATTGAAATAGATGAATCGAGGTTATAAACAAGAAGAACTCCCTGATTATCTTTTTCTGATGGATTGTCCTAAGAGGTGGACAACAAGGTTCAGGGAATATAGTTAGTCACAGCAATAATAAATCTGATGCAAAAAAAAAAAAAAATGTAGAACAGCATGCTCATTGTGATCATAATACTATGCTAAACATGATTGGAGCAGCAAAAAGCAAAATAAATAATAATAATAATAATAATAATAATAATAATAATAATAATAATAATAATAATAATAATAATAATAATAATAATAAAAGTAAAGAGAAATAAATTAAAAGAGAAGTTCGAACTTTATGTTGAGAAGTAACACCTAGCAGAAGCTTACCTTCGGAAATGAGAAATGTATGTCAAATTTCGTACGTCTTAATGGCTTACTCTGGAGATCTTTCATTGCATTTTGGGCTGCTCTAATATCATAATATGAGATCATAACAAACCCTCTATGCTTCCAGGCTGTATATAGAGTGCGGATCTCTCCGTATTGCTGCAATTCAAATATGAACACAGAGGATTAACACCAGTCAGAATACGGCAAGGATATACTTGTACTGCAACTTCAAACACTACAGGGAAATGAAAGTGCCCACCTCGAAAAGCACTCGTAATTCAGAATCTTCGACATTGCTGTTTATATTTCTTAAAAAGAGTGTCCTTGACGGGTGCTTCTGATCATTGGAACCATACGACAATCCCAGATGATTATTAGAAGAGACATCAGAAAATTCATAATTTCTTTGTGAGGGACCATCTTCTCCTAGCTCCAGTCCTCCAACACTACTAAATAGGTCTAAATCTTCCATGTCACCCCCTTTATTAGGTCGGGCAATGTAGCCAAACCCATCAGTCAAACCAGAAAGCAAGTCATCATCATCAGGCAGAAGATTTCCAATAGTTTGAGCCTCAAGTTCTTCAAGAGACTCAGAACCCTCTTGTGCCTCATAGTGCGAGGCAGCACCACCACCAAATGAATGACCATATGAAGCATCATTTGACAATAATCTCACTGAAAAAGAGAAATGCAAAGAAATAAAGGAGCAATTACTTCTTTTCAGCTCCCACGGTAACTTAAATGGTAGTGGATAATTTTGCAGAACTGCTCAGTTTTGCATCTCAAGCTAGAATGTTTGAAAGAAAATACTGGTATACAATAAAAGAGTTGGATGAAATGGATCTAACAGACAAGCTGGAAACAGTTTGCATATAGCAAAGATATTTCATCATTTGTCGGATAAGGGGAAAAGAGCGAACTTACCCTTTCTACTGAATAAGTCAGATAATGAACTTGAAAAGAGACCATTTTCAAACTGAGCACCCAGGACATTTATTCTATTTCCATTCAAAATGTAAGATGCAGACTCCGCATTTGAATTAAATCTAGCACTTAGATCATGGTCAACACCACTAGGCAAGGAATGGCTGGCTGCTCTTTCAGCTCCAACAATGTGCTTATCTAAGGTATTGTTAACTTTTTGAACATGACTTTGAAAATATTCAGGCAGTTCAAAACCCTTTCCCGTCTGAGGATCCAGTGGGGTCCTATTCTCGAGAGATGACAAATCAGGACCACCGGATTTGAGTGCTCCACCCGTTTCCAAACCTGAGAAGCATCCAAAATAATGCTATAATGTTCAAAATAAGTTTGAAAAGCTTATCAATACATATATGAATCAAATAGTTGTATTATGTACAAATCTACGTAAGAACTCTTTCCTCTTAGATTTTCTTGTATTTATGATAGACTCATGGAGTTTGACTGCTATTCCACTTTTCCCAATGCACCAATTGTATGATGACAGATATGGCCAATGTAATATATCTTTTCCAAAAGAAAAGGAAAATCTCATAGTTCTCCAGAACACTATGATCGTGATTTAGAAAACGGATTTTCAGATAATGCATGCATAACTCATGTTAGAGAATAGCTACCGATCCAGTGCTCCAGTTTTATCGACTGAAGCAACTACAAAATGAACCAGGAGGATAATCAGAACCTTGGCTAACTTCCAGACTGTATACACTATACTCTAGTTAGGACATTAATCAGGTCTTTTATTCATTAAGTTTGCACACCACAAATTACTACCACCTTAAAAACTAGCCATAAATTTCACAACTCTAAATGGATTTAGAAACTTGGTTTTTCACCGGTCATGAGAAACTCATGTAAATAGTGCAGCTGCCAATCTAGTACTCCAGTTACATCAACAAAAGCAGCCACAAGTTAACAAAGAGGCTGCTCAGAATTTCAGGTTGCATACCGTGAGATATTAGTGTGTTACCATGCAAATGCTAGTCACGAATATAGAAAATAACTGGGTGCCATCTATTTTAACGATGGCGACCAATTATTCTAAGTAAAGGCCAGATAAGAAACAACATCATTTGCAAATGTACAGCGTGAATGTGTGGTTGAATGAGTTCGAGAAAAAGGGAATTTTGATTTAATGGATGACAAACAGGGACAAATATAAAATGCCTCGAAAGGTTTAAGAGAGTGCCCAACTTTTGTTTAATAAATAGAAGAACTTTCCATAACTTTTGACGAAATAACAAACAATTCGGTCCAAACTGCAAAGACGTCTTGAAAGTGAACCCTATTTCATGAATATGATATCTGACAAGTATGATGTGTGGAATATAAGATAACCCTTTCTAATCAAGCTCCAATGTAGATTACTTCTGTTCATATGATGATATCCATATGAACCTTTAACTTGCATTCATAGTAAAAGGCAGTTTCATACCGCTGGGCCCACCTACAAATTCATAAGGCTAAACAAAGAGAACACAACAACACTACGTGTGGAAGGGCCATGCCAGCGTCGGACAATATAGAAGATTTGACACGTAATAAATGCAACAAACTATGTTATTCTTTTTGCTCCTTGTCTAAGTTGTCGTTAACTCAAATACTTCCAAAAAAAACTTCTAAGGTTTCATTACAGGGTCCATAGACTATCCACACCTTATTGCGCAAATGCACGACAGCCAAAATTCAAATTAATAAAGGTGCACCATCTGAGGAGGGAAGACACAGAAGTCACACAAACAAATTAAGCACAGCTTAATTTATAATCTATTGACAGGTTCCTACACAGGAAGTATCCATAATATATTCCAAACTTTGTTTTCATTCCTGCACGATGTTCCACAACAGAATCCCACAAACAAATTTAACACTTAACCCCACCCTCCCACTTGTTTTCTCTCAAAGAGGTGAAATTAAATCCTCAGATTCTCTCAATATTGCTTGACAGTTGAAGAATGGAAGTCTATGCTAATGCAATTATAGGGCTACGTCGTGAAAAGGCTAGATAATGCAATTAGCCAAGTAGATGATTGATACCGTAGTAACCAGGCATCGTATCCATCTTCCATAGGCCAACCTGTCTCTGCAAAGCATAAAAACACAGGATCAATCACATACGATGTACAGAGACTACATAGTTTCCTTTTTTCATATTTTTTTTCCTTCTCATTTTTCCTGTTTTCTTCTTTACTTATTTTATTTTCCTGTTGAGGGAATTTAATTCTCAAAGTGTATATTGAATGCAGAATTCCAAATAAAATGTTTTTTGCTGAGATTTTTGATAAATGCTCAAATTTGAACAATTTTTAGGCGAAAAATACCTCATCATGAAAACGCACATCCTCAGAGAAAAAGGATGAAGGAGACGAACCCCTTGGGTTCATTATTTCAGACAGTGTGGTCTAAACTTAACGGAGAAAGAAATGTCTTTGGCTTCCACCTCAGCAAAAACACTTCAATTCTATAAGAAATTTCAAGAAGATCCAGCTGCAAAGAAAATTTGCATAAAGAATTGACCAGATGATTGATGTATTCGACAAGAAGAAAAAGAAAATGCTGGACAACCCACGAACAGACTGACAACAATGGTGGGAAGTGACAAGTACACGGGAAGTCGCCCACAATTTTTAAGCCAAGGAGAAGGCAAAAGGAGTACAACAGAGCAAATTATTAAAAAAAAATTCTGCTTCACTGTTAAGGTGGCAAAAAAGGGTGCTAAAGCACATGTTTTCAGTTTCAATCAATAGCAGTTGCATTTAAGATCTCACAGCTAAAAAGGCAATTAAATTATTGAAAGAACCATTTACTCGATCTGAGATTGTAAAAATGAGGAATCTTTCCCGAAATTCAAAAGCCTCCAAATCTGAATTATGGAAATTATATGAAGTAGAGAGAAACTCATGTGAGCAGATGAAGAAAACAAAAAAGTCAGCTTTAACTCAAAACTCACAAAACAAAACCAACCAGCTGTCATCACAATTTCAGTAAATTCAACAAAAATCACAATCAATGAAAATCTGAAAACCTAAAGTGCTGCATAAGTTTAACATAGAAGGAAAACATTCAAAAATACGCGCACCTTGGACAATTACGAAACCGTCCCCCAAAAACAAAATATCGGAAGAGCAACAAATTCCGAGAAAAACACGCTGGCACAGAGACGGAGAAAGGCGGGGACAAAGAGATAAAAGGCAAGAGAAGCAGAATTTAAACACAGGAAGCGAGGTTGTGATAAGGATTTTGAGAGATAAACTGAATTATTAATAAAGAGGCATAAAATAGGAATAAATTGCGGCAAAAGGCAAGGGAGAAGGAGATTGAAGAAGAGATCTAGGTATGTGTGCCGTGCAAATAACCTCCAAAGCTTCGATGCCTTTTCCTGTACCCTTCTCTTCTCATCTCTCTCCTCATTTTCTTGCTATTTCTCTCGCTTCTTTACCCCTTTGTTTCACGTTAACCACGTTTATTCCCTCTCTTTCTTAATGTATAATTCTGTATTATAATAATTCTCTCTGCGTAAATTGTCAGAAGAATCGGTGTCTAGTCCTCCCTCCCAGCCGAATCTGTGAAATTTTCCGGCGAGCCAAGGCAGAGATCCCGATCTCCACCGCTCACTTTCTAGAGAGAGGGAGAGAATTTAGACACTGTAAAAAAATGCAGAGCGTGAAAGAGAGATCTGTATGAATGGAAGGTCGATCAGAGAGAGAGAGAGACAGAAGTTATGTGGGTTTCCTACAAACACGAGAGGAGGACTGAGGACCCTCTTCCGATGGTGCTGCTGGATCAAAACAAAAATAAAATATATTACAAAAATATCATCAACTAATCAACCAAACAATTATTTTCTGCTTTCACCCTACCTGGACCAGCCACTCACGTTATTAGCTCAACGTACCATTTCCCATTGGCTATCGTTAAAAAATCTTATTAATTACCCATTTTGGCCCCCATTTTCTGAAAATGAAAATGAATGGAATATTATTTTTTTGAAAAATGAACAGTTAAAAAAATTCGATTTATGTGTAATATTATTTTATAAAACATTGTGTAATTGAAAATAGAAAAGAAAAAAATGGAATGTAATATAATAAAATTTAATGGGAGTCAAACAGGGGCTAAAATTTAAATCAAAATTAATAATTAATTGTAATAATACATTTAATCACATATTTAATTAACGTTTATCAAAATTTACTAAAAAATTAATTTTAATCTATATTAGAGAGGAACATTTCACTTATTTTTAGCTTCTTCTAGTAAAATTACTATGCCATATGTTGCCTTCTCAACCATTCACCTTTCAGTCTTTTAAGGGGGAAAAAAATAAAAAATAAAAAAAGATAAATTGACATGTTTGAGTTTCATTATGATCTGTGAATGCATTTTGGAATAATGAATTGATGAAGAATGTGTGATTTAAAAAATAAAAAAAAATTGAATTTGTCTGTAATATTATTTTATTAATGAATGTACAGTTGAAAAAAATAAACAGAAAAATGTATTTTAAAAATGATGGGAATCGAATGGGAGCATAATTTTGATTATAAATTTAAGTAATTACTTGAAGGATAAAAATAAAAATTCAATAATTTTAATATACACTTCACAACTTTCTATATCAAGATTAATTGATGATAATTATAATAAAATATTAGAGTTTTATTTTGTTTCGGGCGGGGGGCGGAGTGGGGTTGGTTGTGATTATGTGATAGTCAGTTTGGTACGTTGTAGGTTAAGAAATGGATAAGAAGAGGATTTGAATTCGTACAAATAATGCTTGAAAAAGATAAAAGTGGGTTTCAGGTGATTAGGATGTGGTTAAGGGGAAGGTTTGTACGAGTTGGGCTTGAGTGGGCCCCCAACTGTCCAGCTTATGGCTCATTTGATATAATTTTTTTTTAGAATAAATTTTGTGAAAAATAATTTTCTCCAAAATGTGTAATTAAAAAGTCAAAGGGATTAGAGAAGACTGTTTTTTTTTTTTTTTTATGCTTTTGCTAAAAAGATAAAATAATTAAGCCCCGTTTGTTTTCCATTTTTTTCTTATTAAAATGAAAAATATGATCGTTATCTATCACATTAAGCCACCAAATTTGAATTTTTATCTCTTATGTGGGATCCGTAACGATTATATTTTTCATTCTCATTCTTCCGAAAATGAGAAACAAACGGAGCCTAAAGCTCGGTTTGATTTCTATTTTTTTTCAAAATATATTTTTCTCTCTTTTTTTTCAATCATACATTTTTTATTAAAATAATATTACACGTAAATCAAAAAATTTTTATTATTTTTCAACCATACATTTTTCATTTTAAAATACATTTTTTCATAAAAATGGGAGACATGCGAAGATTCTTATCTGTCAAACAATCATAATCCTGTTTTACTTTACCAATTGACAGCTTTTCAATTCTTTAATCCTAAAATGTTGTATATTTTAAAATTAATGTCACGGTTTACTATGTCACAGAAGATTAATTTAACCCTACTCAAACTATATAATATACATTTCTTATTGATGTGGCATAACATTCAAATTCAAAATACTAATGTACAAACACAATATCCAATTCAATAAAATATGTCTTATCTAGAGGGTGTTTGGTAAGAATTTTTATGTGAAAATGTATTTTTGAATAGTAAATTGATGGGAAATGTGTGGTTGAAAAATAAGAAAATTTTTTTGATTTACGTATAATATTATTTTAATAAAGAATGTGTGGTTGAAAAGAAGAGAGAGAAAAATGCATTTTGATAAAAATGGATGCCAAACAGGGCCTACCTGGCACATGCATTTCAATAATTAAGGATAAGAAATGCATAACAAGCAATGTCAATTCTTCATTAGTTGTTATACTTCAATCCAATATAGAGCCAGCTCTTTTTGTATACTGATGAAAAAATAATATTTAGTAGTGGCATCTAACAATGCACTTGTTTGATCCCCATTATTTGGAGAAAATGAATTTTTCAACAGTGTTTTGACATAATTTTAACTATACATTCTTTAATAAAATAATATTACACGTAAATCCAAAATTTTTCTTTATTTTTTAACCACACATTTCACATCAATACACTATTCAAAAATTTATTTTTCCCATCAAAATGGGGCTCAAACAAGGGCAATGTATGATGGACTATGGAGTCATTTAATTGTAATAAATTTTTGTGATTTTAAATTGCTTAAACTACAGCATAAACTCACCTCCCTCACTATCATTAATTATTTTTATCTTTGCTCCCATTGCTGAAAAATTTTATCTACTTGCAAAGCTCAAATAATGAACTGTTGCCATGAAAGTGCAAACCACAAGTGTACAGGTCTACTTAAGTAATAAAGTGGACTTTTTTAGTCCGAATTATCGATCTCTTGAAATGTTTACTTTAAATTATACGACTTTATTCACTTTGATTCTAACACTAAAAAGAAACACATGAAATTAAAATTATGAATTTGAAAATGAGAAAATAACTAAAACTATATGAAAATGAGAAAATATAGAACTCTTGAAAATTTCGGAGAAAAGCGTGGTTAGAATTTGTGGTTCGTTTATCTGTCGCTTAATTAATTTTTTCACAAACCAATTAACAAATTAATCATTTACAATGTTGGACCCGATTTTTTCAATTTTAGTTAATTACCTCTCTCGAGTGAAATTAACACTAATTAATTGATTTAACCTACTATATCTCTATGTCGATTAAAACCAAGTGACCACATTGAATCTTTGTGAAAATAGCTCAATGGATCACCTAGGATTAGAAGCACATCTCTATTCTTTACAAGACCCTAGTGCTTCTAATAGTTTGTCTAAAATGTACAATCTTCTCTCTAACGATATACAAATTACAAACATATTTATTCATTCACCACATAAATGAAAATGCAATAATTACAATAGTAAAAACACGTGAAAATAAGTAATTTAACATTAAAGAGCAAATAGTAAAATTAATTAAGGCTGAGTTAAATTTAAACCATAAATCCCAACAATAAAACTTAGACCATGTTAAATATATATTAAAAAGGAAAATACTTATAACAATACACTATAAGTGTAGCAAAATAATAGAGATTATAGAAAGAATCTCTTTTGGTTAAATTTTTGAAGATAATGGTTAATTCTTGATTTTAAAAAGTATAGGCAAGACGGTCTCCAAGATTGTAGCAACCTCTATTCCTTAGCATTCATCTTAAGTGCAGTTCAAGCACAAACAAATTCACTTCTTCCTTGGGGAGTGTCTAGGGTGCAGTGGATGACTTCCTTTTTGGGTCCCTTGGGTCGATTTAGTAGATAAGAAGGCGTCGAAAAATTGAATTTGGTTTCATATTGCAACTAAGGACCTAGATAATTGCACGTTAGGTCCCTCAACTTGATATTGTACAATTTGATCCTTAGATTTTGATTTTCATATCAATTATGCCCTCCAAAAATGGCAACCCTATGTCCTTGAACTTTTTGACATGTGCACTTTGGTCCTCAACTTCACAATTTTTGTACGATTTTGGTTACTTTTCACTTCCTTTTACCTTGTTTTATTTCCTCGGGTGATTTTTATCTACAAAAGCCATAATTATATAATTGTGAATAGAAATACGCTCAATTTAATCAATAATTAGTTTGTTAAAGTATCTAATAAGTGTGCAAAAATACCTATTAAATACTCTCAAACTTAAGCTCTTGCTCACCCCGAGCAAGATTATCTATAACACAATCAAACAACAGGTGATAATGACCAACATATTAGATAGCTTGCAAAATATTAGCAAGTGTAAAATTGTATGATCAATTCACAACTATTCTACAAATAATGTTAACAAAAGTAATTAAAGTTTATCTAGCCCATGTTTGAGCCCCATTATTTGAAAAAAATACATTTTTCAACAATATTTTTGACATCATTTCAACATACATTTTTCAATAAAATAATATTACACGTAAATTCAAAAAAATTCTTATTTTTTAACCACACATTTTTCTTCAATACACTATTCAGAAATTCATTATTTCCCCAAAATGAGGCTCAAACAAGGGCTAATATTCGATTGGTGTTAGTGTGTCAGCAACGTCACTTTCAGTCGTCATCTAAATTAAAAAAAGTTGTCAAGACAGAAAAATTTTCAAATTTGCTCCAACCCAATGGCTTTCTATAACAATTATTGTACCAGTTTCTCGATTTTCTAAACAAATATTAATAAATTCTTTAAAACTCTTTACTAAACAACAAAGCAAAATAAATATTGTATAATTGTCTAATGACATGAAATATTATAACTAAAGATCAATATGTTTGTAATGGTCTTATATTACTTTATCGTTCAGCAAATTAATTTCTTCAATTTTTTTTAACTCTCTTTTAATTTTTTCTTGACCTTCTAAAAGGCTTAAAACAATAATTAAAAATAATTTTTATCATGTTTAAACAAACTCCCAAAATTGGGATACAAAACAGTCAACTTAACTATTGGATTATTACCGAGCTTATAGTTATTGGCAAAAGACACTCCACACAATTTTTTTTCAACATGCATGGAATCAACACACTATTGAAAATTTACTTAATCATGCACAACGTAATTTAAACAATATTTCAATTTTCACCAAAGATCTGCTTTGTATTTAGATAGATATTGTGATAGAAATTATACTTTTGTTGAATTCTGCAAACTTATTTGCTTTTCTTTTGTTCAAACAATCTCGATATGCAACACAAGCTATTCAATTGTCCAACTTCTAAAAGAAATCCACACAAGAAACAAGATTAAGAAAACCAAGATTTTTACTT